GATCATCATACAATGTTGCTGATAATATGAACAATGTTTTCCTGGTTCTTCTCATTGCACTTTGCATCAGTTTGTATAAGCATTTCCAGGTTTTTCTGAAATCTGCCTGTCCGTAATTTCTTATTGCATTGTATCCCATTACATTCATATACCACAACTTGGTTAGCTATTCCCCAACTTATAGTCATCCCCTCAATTTCTAATATTTTGCCACCATGATTAGAACTGTTATAAATATTTTCACACATGTAGGTCCTTTTCTCTTTTTTTATGATCTCTTTGGGATACAGACCTAGTAGTGGTATTGCCAGATCAAAGAGTATGCACAGTTTAGTTGCCCTCTGAGCATAGTTCCAATTTGCTCTCCAGAATGTTTGGATCAGTTCACAACTCCACCAACAGTACATTAGTGTCCCAGTTTTCCCACATCCTCTCCAACATTTATCATTTTCCTTTTTTTTTTGTCATATTAACAATCTGATTGGTGTGAGGTGGTATTTCAGAATGGTTTTAGTTTACATTTTTCTGATCAAAAGTGATTTAGAGTGCTTCTTCATATGCCTATAGATGTCTTTGATTTCTTCATCTGAAAACTGCCTATTCATATCCTTCGCCTATTTATCAATCGGGAAATGGCTTGTATTCTTATAAATTTGACTCAATTCTTTTTTTAATTTTTTTTTTATTTTTTAGGCAATTGGGGTTAAGTGACTTGCCCAGGGCCATACAGCTAGTAAGTATCAAGTGTTTGGTCTGAAGTATGATTTGAACTCAGGTCCTCCTGACTTCAGGGCCAGTGCTCTATCCACTGTGCCACTTACCTGCCCCCCAATTCTTTATGTATTTGATAAATGAGGTCTTTATCAGAGTTACTTGGGGTAAAGATTGTTTCCCAGCTTTCTGCTTTACTTCTAATCTTCATTGCATTGGTTGTTGTTTGTGCAAAAGATTTTCAATTTAATATGAAAAAAATTATCTTGTCTACATTTCATAATACTCTCTGTCTCTTGTTTGGTCATGAATTCTTCCCCTGCCCATAAATCTGACAGGTAGACTACTATTCTTTGCTTTTCTAATATGATTGCTTCATTGTGTATGGTAGCTTTTAGCAAGATATAGTTTCCTTCCTTATCTCGGGTGCCAAGTCCTGTGTAATCCTGATTGTGACTCCTCTTTTTTTGAATTTTTTCTTTCTGGACACTTATAGTACTTTTCCTTGGCCTGATACTTCTGAAATTTGGCTATAATGTTGCTTGGAGTTTTTATTTGGGATCTGTTTGGGATTCTTTCAATGCATTTTTTGCCCTCTGGTTCCAGGACCTCAGGGAAGTTCTCCTTAATAATTTCTTAAAAGATGCTGTCCATACCCTCCTTTTGATTATGGTTTCAGGTAGTCCAGTGATTCTGATACTGTCTTTCCTGAGTCTATTTTCCAGGTCAGTTGGTTTTCCCATTAGGAATTTTACACTTTCTTCCATTTTATCATTCTTTTGAATTTGTTGGATTGATTCACAATGTCTCCTGGAGTCATTAGCTTCTAATTGCCCACTTTTAACTTTCAAGGTGTTGTTTTCCTCAATTAGCTTTTGTACTTTCTTTTCCCTTTGGCCAATTATATTCTTTAAGGAGTAGTTTTCTTCAGTGGATTTTTGTATTCCTTTTCACTTTGGCCAATTCTACTTTGTAAGTAGTTTTCCAAGCTGCTGAGTCTTCTTTCTCTTGCACATCTCTCATTTCTTTCCCCAATTTTTCTCTACCTCTCTTATATTATTTTTAAGCTCTTTTTTTGAATTCTTCCATGATTTCTTTCCAGGCTTGATAAAACTTCTCATTTTTAATTTGGGGTTTTGCCCATAGGTATTTTGACATTATTGTCCTCTTCTGAGCTTGTGTCTTGATCTTCCCTGTCACCACAATAACTTTCTATCATCAGATTCTTTCTTGTTGTTGTTGTTGTTGTTGTTTTTTGCTCATTTTTTTTTGGAGGGGGAGGGCAGCATTTTCCTTTCCTTTTTTTATTAATTTATTTTGATTTATCAAAAGTCACTTCTATAAGCTTTTGAGTTGTAAATTTTTCTCTTCCTCCCTTCCCAAGACTACATGCAATCTGATATATACACACACACACACACACACACACACACACACACATCTATCTATCTATCTACATATATGTACACACACATACATATATTCCTGTTAAACATATTTTCACATTAGGGATGTTGTAAGTCAGAATTAGAACACATAGGAGGAACCACAAGAAAGAGGAAACAATACAAAACAGAAGAAAATAAAATAGCAAACAGTATACTTCGATCTGCATTCAAACTCCATAGTTCTTTCTTTGGATGTGGATAGCATTTTCCATCATGTGGCCTTTGGAGACGTCCTAGATCCTTGCATTGCTGAGAAGGGCTAAGTGTATCAATATTAGTCATCACAGAGCATGGATGTTACTGTGTACAACATTCTCCTGGTTCTGCTCACTTCACTCAGCTTCAGTCCATACAAGTTTTTCCAGGTTTTCCTTAAGTCTGCTTGCTCATCATTTCATATAGCACAATAGTATTCCATTACATTAATATACCACAACTTGTTCAGCCATTACCCAATTGATGAGCATCCCCTAAATTTCCAATTCTTTGCTACCACAGAAAAGATCTGCTATAAATATTTTTGTACATGTGGGTCCTTTTTCCATTTGTATGATCCCTTTGGGATACAACCCTAGAAGTGCTATTGCTGGGTCAAAGGATATGCACATTTTTATAACCCTTTGGGCATAGTTCCAAATTGCTCTCCAAAATGACTGGATCATTTCACAACTCTACCAACAATGCATTAGTGTTCCAGATTTCCCACATCTTCTCCAACATTTATCATTTTCCTGTTTTGTCATGTTGGCCAATCTGATAGGTGTGATGTGGTACCTCAGAGTTATTTTGATTTGCATTTCTCTAATCAGTAGTTATTTAGAACATTTTTTCACATGGCTAGAGACAGCTTTAATTTCCTCCTTTGAAAACTGCTTGTTCATATCTGTTGACCATTTATCAATTGGGGAATGACTTGTATTCTTATAAATTTGACTTAATTATGTATATATTTTAGAAATGAGGCCCTTACCAGAGAGACTGGTTGTAAAAGTTCTTTCCTAATTTTCTACTTTCCTTCAAATCTTGGTTACATTGGCTTTGTTTGTGCAAAAACTTTTCAATTTAATGTAATCAAAGTTAGCCATTTTGCATTTAATAATGTTTGCTGTCTCCTGTTTGGTCATGAATTCTTCTATTCTCCCTAAATCTGATAGGTAAACTGTTTCTTGCTTTCCCAGTTTGCTTGCAGTATTACCCTTTATATCTAAATCATGAACCTATTTTGACTTTATTTTGGTACATGATGTGAGATTTTGATCTAATCCTAGTTTCTTCCATACTCTTTTCCAGTTTTCCCAGCAGTTTTTGTCAAATAGTGAGTTCTTATCCCAGAAGCTGGGGTCTTTGGATTTATCAAATAGCAGATTACTGTAGTCATTGACTGTTGTGTCTTTCATATTTAACCTATTTTGCTGATCCACCACTCTATTTCTTAGCCAATACCAAGTAGTTTTAATGAGTGCTGCTCTGTAATACAATTTAAGATCTGAAATGACCGGGCCACCTTCACCTGCATTCCTTTGCATTAGTTCCCTTCATATTCTGGACCTTTTGTATTCCAAATGAATCTTATTATTTTTTTCAAACTCTATAAAATACTTTTTTTTTGGGTATTTTGATTGGTATGGCACTAAATAAGTAAATTAGCATAAGTAGACTAAGAATAATAAGAATCTATAGTTAAGTTTCTTTTTGGTCATAGTGTTTGCTTATTTCCTGACCTTTAAATAGATTGAGCTCTCTTGCTGGGGAACAGGGGGCATTGACCCAAGCATCTTGTGTTGGGAGCCTGGGGCCTGGTCACTGGCTTTGTGTTCTGGGGCCTCTGTTGCTGACAGTTGGAGGCTGTAGGGTTCTGGCAGATTACTTGGTATTTGGCTGGAATCAGCAACACTGAAACTCTAGGTAGGATTGGGTAGTCTGGCTCCTGGAGGTTTCCTGCTCACTTGGACCTTTCCTTCCTTTTGCTTTCTTCAGCTCCTTTCAGATGGATGTTACAGGGTGTTTCTGTGTTTCCCTGTAGCTAAACTAAGCTGAAGAGGTCATCTGGCCTCTGGAGGCTGCCTGATTTCCCAGGACTACACTGAAGCATGAGGTGGTTCTTGAAACTAGAGTCTGCTGTCTTCCCTGGGTATGCTAAGGTATGGAGGAGTTCAAGTGTTGGTGTTTGTGTGCTCTGCCACACTAGGGCTCAGGATCTCCCCTTGGTTTGCTGAGGTGGGCTTGTTGCTGGCTTGCTGGGACACTTCCCATCCTGGACTACACTCCCCATTAACCCAAGTGAGATGGACCTTCCTGATCCTGCAAGTTTACTGGGATAAAAGATTGTTTAATCCCATGTTTTTGCTGGTTCTGCCATTCCAAGATTTGTTTGGGGGCTCTATTTTATGGTCATTTGGGGTAAGAATGGGAGAGTTACAGTGATTTATTGTTTACTCTGCCATATTGACTCTTAGAAGTCTTCTGGTATAAAACTTATCTTTTTCAGTTCAAATCTGACCTCAGACACTTACTAACTGTATGACTCTGGGCAGGTCACTTAACCCTTTTGCCTCATATTTCTCATCTGTAAATATGAGCTGAAGAAGGAAACAGCAAACCACTCCAGTATATTTGCCAAGAAAACCCTAAATAGGATCACAAGATCGAATCAGGTAAACTAGAAAAAGCAAAATGTAGTGTTTTATAATTATCAGCTTTATTGTTATTTTCACTATAATCACTATTTTCTGCATCTTACCCTACTTTCTACTCATTGATGACTTAATGATTCAGACATATATTGTGCTGTCCTGTACATTCCTTTTTTTTGCTATGTGTAGATATTCCCTTTTCCCCTCTTTATTTTGTCTGACAGAGCCTGAGAATGCGGGTGCGGATCTCACTGGTCTTTATGCAATAAACAATGGGGTTGAGCACAGGGGGGATCAGCAGGTAAACGTAGCCCATGATGATGTGAATCACAGGTTGGACATGCTTCCCAAAGCGATGGATGATGGATACACCTAGCATGGGGATGTAGACCATCAAGACAGCACAAATGTGGGAGACACAGATATTGAAGGCCTTGAGCTGTTCCTCATGGGAGGCAATGCCCAGCACTGTGATCAGGATTCTTAAGTAAGAGAGAAGAATGAGCACAGAGTCTAGACCAAAAGTAATGAGGATGATGATGAGGCCATAGATGCTATTTATACGATGGTCAGAGCAGGAAAGCTTGATAATATCAGGGTGAAGGCAGTAGGAGTGGGAAAGGGCATTGGCTTTACAGAATGTTAGTCGCTTGATGAGGAACGGTCCTGGCAGGATGACTGCAGTTGCCCGAAGTATGAGGCCAAAGCCAATCTTGACAATGGTAGTGTTGGTCAACATGGCTGTATAATGGAGTGGGTTGGAGATTGCTACATATCGATCAAAAGCCATGGTCAACAGGATGCCTGACTCCATGAGGGAGAAGACATGGATGAAGAACATCTGAACCAGGCAACAGTCGAAAGCAATCTGGTGGGCATTGAGCCAGAAGAGCTCGAGCAGGGTGGGCAGGGTGGTGGCACAAAGACCTAGATCACTGGCTGCTAACGTGGAAAGGAAATAGTACATTGGCTTATGCAGTGACTGTTCTTGCCAGATCACCACCAGGATTAAACTGTTCCCTACAATGGCAATCATGTAGAGAATACAGAAGAGGACAGAGATCTGTGGATGTGAAGCCTCTAGGCCTGGAAAACCAGTCAGAAGCAAGGGTCTGAAGTCACTGTTGTTGAAAGAGTCCATTGTCAGAGAGAAGGATGTCCTGGGTTTCCACAGAAAAATAGTCTGGGTTACTTCATCATCACTCCTTCCAGCAAACAATTTTTATCTGATTTTGTGAATCTGTGTGGGTCAATTCCTATGTTATCCCCTCCTTGGGTCCATCTTGTACCTCTCTATCGTCCTTCCATCTCCAAATCATCAGAAACCTTAGCATTTTTTGAATCCTGGGATTATGGCATCACTAGAATAACATTGATGTTAAAAAGTCCCAGCTAAAATCAACTTCTGTAAAAAGCCTTTCTTGGTGTCCCTTAATGCTGGTGTCTTCCTTCTGAGATTATCTCCAAGTTATCTTATATATAGGACAGTTAGGTGGCACAGTGGAAAGAGTGCTGGGCCTGAAGTCAGGAAGATTCATCTTCCTGAGTTCAAATCCAGCCTCAGAGAAATACTAGCTGTGTGACCCCTTAGCAAGTCATTTAACCTCGTTTGCCTCAGTTTCCTCATCTGTAAAATGAGCTGAAGAAGGAAATGGAGAACCACTCCAGAATTTTTGCCAAGAAAACCCCAAATAGGGTCACAAAGAGTTGGGTATGACTGAAATGTCTGAACAGCAACAGTAACAAAATCATGTGCATATCTTGTTTGAACATTATTATTTGCATATTATTTCCCCCATTAGATTAGGAGTGTCTGGAGTATAGAGACTGCTTTTTACCTTTTTTTTTTTTGTATCACCAAAACTCAGTGCAGTATCTGGCACACAGTGGCCACTTAATAAATACTTGTTGACTTGAATTGAAGAAGATGAAGAAGATGGGCCTTCAGTTCAGTTTGGGGTCAATAAAAGCAATAAACTGTTTTCAGAAAGGCAAAGCAGCACCTTCTCCTCATACTCCATTCTAGGCCAAGTTCAGCATCTGTCTGCAGTGTCTGTATAAAATGGAGATACCAAGGGATCAAGTCTATGGATTTTGTATCCAACCATGTATTATAGTTTGGACAATAGGCATTCTTCAGCTGCTTCAGATATGTGCTCAGTACATAGCAGGCACTTGATTGACCAATGTGGAAATTTATTTTGCTGGATTACATGCATATAATTGTTGGTTAGAATTTTTAAATTATTAATTTTTTTGCATAACATTAGAAAGGAATACTTAAAAAATTAAAAGTTAAAAAATACTTTAAAGTGTTCTAAAATATAAGGTGGAACAATGAGATCAGATGAAAATATGTATATAAAGCACTTAGGGAATGGGAATGAGTGAATAACAAAATGCATATATTTCTACTGTTAGACAAATGGAGGGAATAATTGAGAACTTATGACATTTTTATGTATTTAAATGTAGTTTCAAAGTAAGTTCAAGTCTTTCTTTTCATGTTTAATTTTGTTTAAAATTAATCATAAAAATAAAGAACAATAAATGCTTACTTAGTTGATTGAATAGAATGTCTTGGAGTATGGAGGACTTTCTTGTATAAAGAAGTGACCACTGATGCGAGAGTCAAAGGCTCTAAGTTCAAATAGGCTGCTAAATATGCGATTATATGCTCTTATCTCTATTACATAGAGTGGGACCTTGAAACTACTGGCTGAACCTTGGGGAAGAGGAGCAGAGCTGTGAATGCTAACACCAATCACCATCTAGCAAGCCTATTCCCAGCTTGATCTCTGGGGTTACAAAAAAAGTATCAACTTCCCTGAGTCTCAGTTTCTTCATCTATAAAATAATGATAATAATACCTGAAGTAAAAATGGAGTAGGACTAGATGCTCTATTCGATCTCTTCTAGCTGTAGACCTATTACATTGGTTCAGATCTTGCTTGAGATATTCCCCAGTGGTCACTAGTTTGATGCTGGGCAATTCAATTAATCTCTCTGAGCCTCATTTTCACTATTTGGAAAATAATAATGATGTGCAATACTTACCTTATGGGGTAATAGTAGGCACAGACACAAATGCCAGGTACTCTGATAAATAAATGTAAAATGTATGCAATATGAATGACTATGGATTCTGTGAAAAGCTGTTTCTTGTTTCCTTTGAATGCTAAGAAAGCCAACGCTGTGAACTCCTTTATTTCTCTCTCCAAGGAGAGGCTGTGGATTGTCCTTTCACTTAACATCAACCGGAAACTCCTAGGCCCAGACCCAGTAGGTTCTCAGTTAATGTTTGTTGATTGAATGCATTTTCCCATAGTTGACACTTAGAACAAATATCAAACAGTTCTTAAATTGCTGATGTCCTACAACTTGAAATTAATCATTTCAAGCTTTCGTAAAGATTCCCCATTCCTAGTGCAACTGGAGAGTAAAATCAAACAACATTCCTTAATAAGACATCAAGTGCTTGGCACCTTCTTTACAGGAACATTCAAAGTGATAATAAGACAGCTGAAGCCTAACTTTCTGCAAGAAGTCTTTCCCTAGTTCTCCTTTTAATCTTAGTGTCTTCCCTTTGAAATAACTCCAAGGTGTGTGTTTGTGTGTGTGTGTGTGTGTGTGTAGTTTGTACATAATTGTTTTTGTGTAGTCTCCCTCTTTAGACAGTGAGATCCTTGAGAATTAGGCCTGTTTTTTGCCTTCCTTTGAATGTCCAGCACTAAGCACCATCTCTGGCACACAGTAGGCACTTAATAGAAGCCAGATGACTAATAATTCTTTTCAAGAGGCCACCCTTGTAGAGGAATAGGCAGAACCTGAAAAGGGAGCTTAATTCCACCATCCCTAAAAAGAGCTTTCGATACTGGTGTTCATAATTAATTTTGTGAATTAACTTTTCTTAATTAATTTAATTAACAATGATAAGAAAGTACACTGATTCCCTTCCCCTTGTACATTTGCACACTCCTTCTATTGGTAACATTTTTCTGCTTTTATCCCAGCCCCCGACTTCTGTCTGTCAACATCCTTTAGGATCCTGTCTCTCTGATTCTCTTTTATTTTTCTTTCCTTATCCTAAAATCTACCTCTCTTCCTAAAGTTCAAAAGTTAACTCGCTAGGAGCAGGAATAAGGTTATGGTAAGGTTTGGGGAGCTATTCAATCTATTTTTTCTTTTACTTTAAGCCCTAGTTCTCTGTTTCAATAAGGAAAAGTAGGAAGGAAAACAGTTTCACCTCTGCTGAGCAGTTCAGAAAGGCTTCATGGGGTGTGTGAAAACTGTCTGATGGAAGAGAGACAGAAAACAAATAGGTCAAGGGTCCTTTGCCCAGTCTCTGATCTATCAGTCAGTCTGACTGACTAACACCACATTGTCTGTCTGGCCTTTCAGACAGGGGTTATGGTGGGGAATAGAGGAAGCTAATGTAGCCCTTTAACTCAGAAAGTCCATTCTTAGTCTTCCCATCTCATGACTATAAATCTATTTATCACCATATTTTGTTGTTAGGAATCAAGACAATAGCAGCTAGAGATGTACAGCAGAAAGGCAGAAGTTCTGTAAAGTAGAGGTTCTAACATTTTATGAAACCTATGAAAATCCTCTTCCATAATAATGATTTTAATGCATAAAATAAATACACATAATTAGAAAAGAAGCCAATGATTTTGAAATAAAGATGTATTTTCCCCATCCACATTCAATGACCCCCAAAGTATATCCACAGAAGTCATAGGACAGAGGTGCCCAGATTAAAAACCTTTGCTGCAATGGAACCTCCAGTATTGTGGGGAAGTGAAACACAGGTCTGCAAATGCAGAGATATGAGCCAGGGGCTCTGCTGCAAACCTTCCCCAATGGAAGTAGAATTTATTTGCAACAGAAACAGATGCCCAGTCTCCCCCTTCCCTAGTTGAGCCGAAAGCCTTAGGATTGGACATTTCAGCATGGAAGCTGCTTTCCTGGCTGGCAGGAGGCAAACATCTCCTTCACCTATGCCCAGAACCTTTTCTTCCTCTTCATTTCCTGCCATTCTCTGCATATTCCTCTACTCCTGAGAAGCAGGGGTCTGCAATTAATATTTAATCTGTTATTGCCTGCTACTCTCTGGTACTGACTCAATTTAAAACATATCAAGGTCAATAGGGATCTTTGCACAAACTCCCTCTAGACTTTTCCTCCCATGCTTCTCCAATAGCTACAAAGCCAATTACTCTAACTGGCAGGAGATTGCTACCCTCTCCTGACAGTTATTAATGGTGAATTACAGGATATCCATAGGCTCATAGGACATTAGAGATGGAAGGGACCTCAGAAATATTCTACTCTTTTTAAAAAGAAGGAAACTGAAGCTCAGAATGTCAAAGTGCCTTTCTTAAAATTATACAGCAAGTTAGATACCAGAATAGAAGGCAAGTGTCTTGACTGTATTGGTAGGACCCTTTTTACCTACCATGCCAGCTTCTTTTCTTCTCCAGTAGAAGTGTGGCTTAGAACAAGGTCTCTGACAATGCTAACAATAATAATGCCATCATAGTTCATTTTTACACAGTACCTAATAATTAACAAAGCATTATTTTTCACAACATACGTAAGATGGTTACTATTACCGCCATTTTAAATACATAGAAAGTGAGGCTGGTTAATGAGGAAAAAATCTCACGTTTACCAAGTATCATATTTGAGACTCCAGCCCAGCTGTTCTCTTCTCAGTTCCACACTGAAAGAGTGCCTAAAAGTCTCCAGGGAACAGATAGAGATGAAGACATTAAGCTCTTTGATCAATGCAATGACCAGGCAAGATTCCAGAGAACCACTAATGAAACATTGTATCCATCTCCTGACAGAGAGGTGGATAGAGTAAGCAGAATGAGTCACAAATTTTTGGACATGGCCAATATGCAATTTGTTGTTGTTGATGATGATTATACACAATTGTTAAAAGCTCCCTTGCCTCAGTTCCCCTCCCTCCAATACTACCACCCTGCCACCCACATACAGATACCTTCAGTGGAAGGGGAGATAAGAAAAAATAAATATTAATTTAAAAACAAATGAAAAATGTTTTAGGAGCATCAAAATTAGTATTAATCATATACAGGAAGGTAGCTCAGTAATCTCATAGTTTCCCTGCTCCTTAGACTTTGGCTGGGAAGGAACTTTTTGTATAAGGAGATTCCCAGTGTCAGGACACTTACCTGGAGAATCAGGCAGTAGGGCTCCTCAGAGTAGCCAAAATTAAGAGAAGGAAATGAACCTACTCAAAAACTGGTACTATCTCACTATAGTCCTGAGAGCAGGGGCCTTTATAGCTATTTGTAGTCTCTGCTATCAGCAAGAGGGAGTAGTGGCAGAAGAAAGGAAAATTCTTAATAGCATCTGTAATCCCTGAGGTGGTGATA